AAGAGAGAGAGAGAGAGAGAGAGAGAGAGAGAGAAAGGTGGAGAGAGAGGGAGAGAAAGAAACAAAGACAAAGAGAGAATCACCGGAATAGTTTATTTACCAAAGGTTTACCACTGGCGTCTTCCCAATTTCCCCACGAGTTGGAACGAGAGACTGAGTCTGCTATGACGTGGGCACACGAGAAATAGCGCAATCTTCCTCCTCATTACCTCCTCCTTCCCCCTCCCCCCTCTTTTCTTCGTCCCCTTATCCCGCCAACAGTATTCTAACTCCCCTACACATAAACACCTTCATTCGTTCAAACGCACGTCATCCTCTTATTTACGACTCCCATAATATGATTCAAACGAAACAAACCGAAACACTCAAGATAAAAAGAAGCGTTTTAGAAAAGAAAAAAAGAAACACATTAGATAAACATAATCAATTGTCTTATAAAATTTGGAAAAAGGGATTGTTAGGCCTGCTATGTAAGCCGACAAGCGGCAGCACATTTCTTGACCGACTCCAAGGCATCACGAAAAGGTTAGAAGGCATATTTGCTAAAAGCAATTCTGGCTGCACTAAGGACCTGCACCATGCATCAACATGGCTCATGCTTCATGTACAAGCCAGCAAATCCATGTACAATGATAAATCAGGCACGCCCTACAGATGAAACAAACCTATGGACGATTTCACCGAGGGACTAGAGTAGTGCGTGTCATCCAAAGCCAATGTGGAACAAATTTTACAATATCATTCTCTGAAGGTTCGTGACCTCATATTCCATGAACTCTGACGAAAGAATGACAGCTACCTACGAAGGATGCATTTTTCGTCTTAGATAAATGCCCCTGCTCATAGTAAAGCAACCGAACTGCAACTACCTTAAAAATTTGATAGTGGGTGGTTGGCGGGTGCTCCGGTGTGGTTTGCTTCTTCTTTCTTATCAAACATCTATCGTCCTTTTCTCCCCTTCTTCTTTTTTATGTTTGTTACTCTCTTGTAACACCTCTACTAATCTTCTGGCGCTCATATGACGTTGTGCAGTTGCGAGCGCCGTAAAACCTCTACTAAAACTAAACTTAAAACTATTTTAAAAAATTGGTCTCCGGTTTCTACCTCGTTTTCCCCTCGTTTCTTAATATCTGTTCAAATGCAGCTGCTATATGTGAAAGGCAAAAAGAAAAGAAAAGCTGGCAGAATTTTGCAGCGAGCTTCTGAATAAGCACTTTGAAGAAATGATGATAAGGCTAAACCAAATCGCGGAACGAGGGGTCGGTGGGGTTACTCCCCCAAAGATGCAAGGTTCTTTTGGGGTATGCAATTCGTGTATTACATTTTGCCTGCCTGCCTGCCTGCTTTGGGAGACAGCCAAATAGACTACATACTTACACAACAACGCTTCGGAGGCCCGGCGCTAGCATTTCTGAAAGATATCAAGGGACTACCATTTGACGAAGTGAGACATAAAGAACTATACAACATCCTAACAAATCTGAACATAGATGGAAAAGATCTAAGAATCCTGATAAATCTTTATTGGGAATAACAGGCAGCATCCATGGTCGACAACGAGCTCAGCGCATACAGACCAATCCGTGGAGGAGTACGATAAGGATACGTCCTATATCCAGATATCTTTAATGTATACTGCAGAATGATATTTCGTAACATCAGTGATATAGAAGGGGTCAAGGCAGGAGGCCACAACATTAACAAACTACAGTACGTTGATGATACAGTCTTTATAGCTGAGTCTAAGCTCCAAGAGATTCTAACTACACTAGAATGACGGAGAAAAGCGGAGAGAACAGCCTACTGCTGAAAGTCAAGAAAACGAAATGCATGGTGATGTCAAAAAGTGCTGACATCCCAGTGTGCAACATCACACGTGAGAACAAAAGACTGAAACAGGTGGACATCTTTAAATACCTTGGTTGCACAATTACACCAGATGAAAAAAAAGAAACATAAGAGAGAACACAAAAATAAAAAGTCTTAAAGAGTACGTTTGGTTAATATATTTGTATTGATGCGAGAGCTGGACTCTAAACTAAGACCCAGAAGGAAGACTGGAGGCCTCTGAAATGTGATTT